CATTTCGTGAGATTAGAAGAAATACGAAAATGCATTGATGACTTTATCGCTTCGAAGCCGGTGAGTTTCTATCGTCAAGAAATTCGCAAGCTACCCGAAATATGGCAAAAGGTCGTTGATGCAAACGGAGAATATTTCGCTGATTAATATTTTTTCGTTTGTTTTTGAATAAAGATTGAATTTTACAAAAAAAAGCTCAGAACTTTTTTGTACACCTAATATATTGTATATATGTTCGACCACATCAATCTGAGATTTGTAAAAAAGAAGGATTGTAAAGTTATTGGAAATACTTCTACTTATTTTACCGACCGCTTCGCAGATGCAAATATAAACATCATAGCTGCCTCGTTGGAGTCTTGAAAACAATCATTGCGCCGTCGCAATCCGGCAGTCATATTTGCGTTTATAGCTGTATGCACGGGGGTCGATGATTGAATTGCGAATCTTATGAGAACTTTTTTCAATCGATAATTAACATAAGGGTAAACACGCAAGGTTTCATTCCATTCTATTCTCTGTTAAGACTTCTTATCACAGATCTTCGGATTCATAATGTCAGAAACAAGAAAACATATAATGAACGTTCTTGCAAAATATATTAATTAAAGTAGAAGTATTTTTCAATAAAACAATATTTGCATTTGTGACAGAATAAAAAATAAATCAAAAACTATCCCTTTATTTCGGAATAGAAAAAAATCATATTTATTTCATTCGGTAACAGTTCGTTTTCTAGTGTTAGGCATAATTCTATTTCAAATATATAGTTATATATTAATTATTGTAACATAAAAAGAGTTTTTCGGTATATTTTACAAATCTATTCTATTGATTATAAATTTTATTTTATTAAAAAATATATTTTAATATAATTCGCAAGAATCTTTATGGTTTTTTTTTTGTTTTTGATGTCACAATCCAAGGTGACTACAGTAAGTAAGAGCTTTAATTCAACTCGCAGTGTTAAATAGCCTTCCTTGATCGAGCTATCTTAAGAATGTTCAAGAAGAAAATCCACTAAAACTGCATCGAAAACTCGCATAGGTGAAATATGAGACAGTAGAGATATGACACTCCGCGTATATGGAAGAATTCATCATTATCTGTTGTTGACTCGGCACGATCCTTAAACTAATGACGAACGAGCAGCTCTCACGTCTGCTTCCTTGCGAAAGATTTTCTTAAAGCAGGTTCATCACGACTTAAATAGTATTAATGTGTTGTCATGAATTATACTTATCCATTTCGTACATTCCTATACATCAGCTGTCTTTTATTATCGTATTGTTCTAGCGAAATCGAACATTATGCAAAGTGACAAGTTTTTACTGAAAGTAAAAGAAGAATTTTTAAAATAAAATAAATAAACCTATTTTTCAAAGCGGATCTTGGTGCTTAAATATTTCAAAGTGAATTTATACAAGTACGTATAAATTCTGCAAATCGCGTGGCTCTTTCGGTCTTAAAAACGCAATCATGAACGGAACTAAAGTAATAATATCAATTGATAATTTAATAATTTTGATGCTAATAAGTAAACATCGGATTTTTATGCAATTTCGTATTTTTTTAAGAAAGCAGATTGGAAAGTAGCATCAAAATAAAAATTTTTCTTGTTAAAAAAGCATTCTAAAAATTCATATTTATTTGTGCATATTATGTATATTTGTGCAAATTTGCATATTTTGTGCATGTGTGTAAAAAATATCTGCATAAAAATCCGATGTCTCATAAGCATCTTAGAAGGACATTAATTACTTGATGCTAATTTAAACGGCTTTAGAAGAATTTTTACTCACCTCTGCTGGGAGCCGGTGGGGCCCTTTTTGGGGTGTCGTCGGCAGAGGGTGTTCTTTCCCTCATGCTTGCCTGTTGAACGCCTTAGCATCATCATTTAGTTCTAAAACAAAAAATAGGACATAATCCGTCAGTCAACAATGTCGTAGAAACTGTCAGTTCTTTTATATCATCATTGTTATAAATCGAATAGATCTTCCAGGGGTGCGTTCCAAAACTCGACTCTATCTACTCCAAGTATCTTTTATCCTTGTTCAATATTCGATGAAGAACAAGAATAAAAGATACTCGGAGTTTATAGAGTCGCGTTTTGGAACGCATCCCAGTAAACTCAATCAAGATCGTGGAGTTAAAAAAACAATTGAGCCGACAAATAAATGATAGTTAACTCTCCGTGAACCAGGAAAATCAACATGGATCAAATGTGGGTATATCTCATAGAGGAGAAGGTGGTATTATGGCACCCCAGTTACATTTTACACAATAACTTTGCTAATAATCAATATTTAAGTTTAAAACTTGATTACATTCGTTAAAATGTTGTTGAATCGATTCTGGACTCAAAGTTAGGAAATATTTATTACTTAAGATACTATTAATAAAAATGTAGCGACATTGCATAATGACTCGGCGAAAAAAATAGTAATGTGGCCTTCCATAAAAATAGTCTTAAAATATTAGTTTTGTTTAGAAAATAGTATTTGGTTATAAAATTAACAAAAAAGTAAAACATTTTAAAATGTATGCAAATGAATGTATATACATTCACATAATTTTTGCATATATGGTAAGCTGCTCAGTATTAAAAATAGTACACGTAATATAAACTATAGATTAACAGTAGAGCTACAATCGATTATCAAATAATTATTTTGATATAAAAACCTCAAAAAAGAGGTCGTAAGTAATCAATATAGAAGGCCACATTAGCAAAATTCCATGGTATTGTTTAAATTTGCATACCTCAAAATATATAAAATAATATTATAAAGGACATATACCACTACGCAAGGTCTTAGAAGCGAATAATAAAGATTTATTAATTTCAACAATAAGATAAAGTATAAACGTTTCGATCTCAATCAGACCATCTTCAGTATAAAATTAACAAATTTAGTAAAATCTTAAATTAAATTAACATATTATATGAAAGGATATCTAAAATATAACTCTTATCAGTTTAATTACGTGAAAATACACTCTCTCGTTTCGTTCAGATATGTTTAAAAAAGTAATTGGTTTTTTTTTTAAATAAGATGTTCAAGAATTTGATTGTTGCTCGACGCATAAATTTCCAGATTCTATTATGTACAAATATTATAATATTTCTTAGTATAAATTTATAAACATTATTCTAATTAAATAATCATAAGACACTATTAGACATAATTATTATATTCCATACCTACATCACAACAGACAACCATATGATAAGATTCGACCAAGCCAGAGCGAATATTTTGTTGGTTATTACTTTCGATACTCTCTGTGACTCCTATCATGTTTTATACATGCGTATCATTAGAGACAGGAAAGTATTTGGCATTGAGTAGGAGACTTAATATTGAGCACAGGAAAATATATCTCTGGTAACAGCTCTGTATCACTTTGTTTATTTAAAGCATTGGTTTGTTTTTTAATAAAAATCATTTCAAAGGTTATTCTTTTATTAAAAGATGGTTCAGAGTCTAATGTTTGAATATTATCTCAATTTAAATTGTGTTTATGGTTCACTTGATGAAGCGGAACTACTGTTAATGAATCTATGGTTTTTTTTATATTAGCTATGTGTTCCTGTATCCTAGTTTTTAATTTTCGTTTTGTTTGCCTCACATATGAAGCATTACAATCAAGACAACTAATTTTATAAATAACATTCCCCTGCTCTGTTTTTTTAAATTTATCTTTACCTAAATTTATAAATTTGTTCAATTTATTCATGGGTTTGTATGCAATATTAAAATCATTTTTTTCCGCTATCGTTCTAAATTTTTCCGCGATTTCATTCAAATATGGAATTGGAAAGAACTTTTTGATATTATCATCATTTTGATTGGTGATTATATAAATCCGTTCTTCTTGATAAAGTTTTTATTCTATTATTATATTTATGGTCGAAAATATAACATTCAGAGAATATCCATTTTTAACAATACATTAATTATCTTTGCGATATTTTTATTATGGAATTTAGGATGCGAAAGAAATAATATCCTGTCAAACTGCCCGATTATTACACCTTTTTTATGTATAATAAGGTGATTGGATTTATAGTTAAAAAATCTTCTCGAATTAGTTGGTTTCTTGTAAATATCAAATTTAATGTACCCATCTTCTAATTTTACAGTAACATCCAGAAAGTTAATAGAATTATCCTTATGCTCAACAGTAAATTTTATTCAAAATATATACAGTCAAATAAAATGTTAAATAGCAAATAACACACTCAAAAAAATACATATATTCATGTGATAATATGCTCAAGTTTAAGAAAAATGAGGAAGTAGGCGTAATTAAATGCTAAAGTGTACCTCAGAAACGTTTCGAAATACTTGAAAGTATAAATGCGTTATAATAAGTGCTGGTTATTGAGTATTGGTAATATTAGCATCATGGTGTAACGGCGAGCTACTGAACTAATAATTCCATAAGTAATCATTAGGATTCGCTATATAATAGCGGAGATATTAAGGGAGGCCATAATATATACACTAGTCATAATACCACATTCTCTTCTACCCCATGCTATGCTTCATTATAAATATACTATAATTTAGTAATTTTGGTAACAACGCACTCTCTAGCACGAAATCGGCAACACATACGCGCGGTACTTGTTAAGAAGTTATAGAAATTCTTGCTGGAGTATGTCACACCCTACCTAATTCACGGAGGGTTAATTTTCGGAAGCAAGAAGAAAAAGAAAGAAAAATTGAACTCAAAATATGTTTAAAGTCTCTAATTTCTTTATTTAATATTGTATTTTCTCTCGTCTGATTATCAGAGGCATTCTGTTTACTTTACTATTTTTTCGTTCGTTAATAAGCTACATAAATAGAATATGAGATAAAAAGTGACATGAGTAACTCGATTAATCCCATGGCGATTATGAATCAAGCATAGTTAGTAAAATTCGCATTTTAATCGCTTAAGAAATCGTGGCCTCGAGGCGTTAGCTAGCACGCGGAAGTTTAATACTCGCACGAACGCGAGAGCCGAGATTTGGCGAAGATTGAGAAGAAAGAAGGCGGAGAAAAGAGAGAAAGTGAGAAGAAAGAAGAAAGAAGAGGGCAGGGAGAAAGGTGTTTGCCTTCGCCGAAGACCGAGTTCATGTCGATCTCGGGTGGCAACGCATCTCGCCTCATGGCCAGAAGAAAATCTTTTCAAGCAACAATAGAATGAAATAGAATAGAATCTTTTTTACATGTTTTAGTGCAAATATCTTTCCTGTAGAGTACAATATTGTAAAAGAAAGAAAAAAATCGTGTAACATCTTCTAATGTTCATTATCAAATGTTTTATCCAAAGAAACAAAACTAACAATAAGTATTAAATTCTTAATTAAACATCTTATTATAATATCCACAGGCATTCATAAAGTAGGTAATAATTACTTTTATAAAGCCTTCTCTTTTTGCAATTTTTAAGAGTTAAAAGCCTCGTAGACTTTTAAAGCAGCAACCTTGGACATCGCGTTACGTAATTTAAGAGGGAAATAGAAAAACACGACAATGCATTACTTAAGGGTTGTGATAAAAGGAATTTTAATGATAGTAGGCGATATAATATTGTTTTTCTCGCACCCACATCAATAATTTATTGAGACAAAAATATTTTTGGTATTTGTAACTGCACAGAGAGAAAAATGTTTGATATTTGTAACTATAATTATATATTACTATAATTATGATTATTACTACTATAATAATAATAACAGTAACTATATATATAGTTCCAGTAACAAATGTTATTATTGGTAACCTAAAATGACTATAATTATAGTTGTTATAACCATAAAATAGTTGAAATTACCATAAAAATGGTTCTTGTGCTATTTCAATGCTATTCCTAATAAAAAATTAACAATAAGTCGAAATAAAGTCCTCTACCATTTTGCAATTTTCGCAATAGTTAACGAGATATTAACTTCTAAATATTGCCGAATAAACGGATAAAATCAATATATAAGACAATTTGAGATATCTTTTCGTGTTCTTTGTGAAATATTTTGAAGATTTTTCTTAAAGAACTCTTAAAGATATTTTAAAGCTGTTGTATACGTCGATTTTAGACAATTTTGCTCATTGGGTAACTAAAAAAAAATATTATGAAAATTACAAAATGGTAGAGGACTTTTCATCTTAGTTTTTTATTAGGAATAGCATTATATGATTAGTGGGCGTTATTTCATTTACACCCTGTATATATTGTATATATAAATAAGTCGGCAAAGGGACACGACTATAAATTATAATTAAATTATAGTAATGCAACCATTTCTATATTAACACTTATTATTACTTATAGCAGTAATAATCATAATTATAGTAACATGTATTATAATTATAAATATAAAAAATTTTTCTCTCAGTATTCTCGGATAAAATAAGGAAAAAAGAGGGTAGAGGAAATGTAATATGTATAAGGAAATCTGTCGGAGAATGCATGTGTGTGAACTTGTAGGATTAAGTGATAATTTAAGTGAGAGGTGAAGCAATGCCGAAGAAATGGAAAAACAGTAGAAGCGGAAATGGTGACAGAGGGGAAAAGAGAGGAGAGGAGATCGGCCATGAGGAGAGCGCTCCGCTGTCCTGGGTGGAACTTAAAATATCGAGCGTCACGCACATCGATGCTGGCGCCGGAAACTCGGGAAACGCGACGTCGCGACGCGGCGCGGCCCGCCACATCGGTTTGACTCTTGTCGTCGTCATCGAGAACCTGGAAATAGAACTTGGGCGCCACTATACGGGCACTGTCTTTATCGAGCCCCATAGGAATTGGTTGGAATTTTCAGGTAAAAAAAATGAAAATTCCGATATGCCAGTCACTGGTACACGGCATGAAATACTTAAACGATCTGAAAGCACTAGTGACGTCAATTTC